TGTTTTTAGCGGTTTTTAGCAGTTCTTGGCTATTCAGTCGATCTGTTGAGTTTCTGCTTTTTCAGCACTCGTCCCGCGTTCCGGATGCATTTTTTCAGCATGTGGATATCGACTTCTATGAAATATCATTTAAGCAGTCATGCCTCCCAAAGACTTTAAAGCGGTGCTACCACGTTAGAAAAACAAAAGCTCATTATATTGGTTATGAGCTGCTAGACAGTGGTTGCTCTCGAGTTTCGACCTGATCTCAACTTTTTTGACTTGGATTACTGGTTGTGACTGGCGAGAAGGAGACGCTTGAGATGTCGTTCGAAGCCTTGTTTAACAGTTGGATGCCTGAGTTGGTTTTTGCAGCTGATCCGCAATAAATTTGGCTGTTTTTGTCCGGATCTCATTCTGAGATGTTCATTTGTCGACAGCATTATGAATGCTGACGTTTTCAAATGCAACGCTTCGACGTTGTAGGCCATTCGAGTGTCGCGGTTCGTAGATTATTGACTAAACGTTCAGATTAAGGCAGTTCACCTTAAGCTTCTTTTCCACGACGGGCAGAGTGCCAGTTCCGGTTTCGTTTCTCGTTGTTGTGCGCTCATTTCGTCCATAAAATATTTTAATTAGCGTATTTTCCCATAGATGACGCGCACCTTATGTGTACCGCGCACGTTGTACTTCTTTTTGCTCGTTAAAATATACAGATACTTCGCACCTTGTAATATTTAGTGCTCACGAAAATGTATAGTTAGAGTATAGACTATTTCTTGTCTGAAAAAGGCACTTTTCGGATAAATGAATAATGGAATGATATGACTGGCTGGGCTGTATCTAAAACAAACGAACAGAAAAATTAAAAAGTTGCCATGTTGCTTCTGGTCTTTGAACACGTGTATTCTGCAAGTGTTTAGTTTTTAAAATTGAAAGTTGCACCTGAGAAATTTACCCATGGAAAAAAGACTGCGCGGAGAAAATCTTCTGCGGCGATGTTTAAGCTGGAAGCTGTTTATATCGCGAGAGAAAAAGGAAATCGTGAGGAAGCCAGGAAATTTAACGTTGGAGAGTTCGGAGACGGGGACGGAGAAAAGAAGTAGCAGCCCTAAGATGTTTACACCACGTGCATTGAGGTACAGGAGATGCTTCTGGTCAGAGCTCGATAAAAACACGAGTGGGTCTCGAGTGGGTTCTTTTAGAGTGATGGAACGGTTGTAAGGTATCAACGACCGGTATTTTGTTGAAGACAGAAGTGGTTGCAGAAGAGGAAAAAATAGAAAACTTTAAAGCTTGCCCATCATGGGCTTTTAGATTTATGAAACGGTACAGTTTATGTATTCGTTCATCGACGAGTGTTGACCAGAAACTACCCGATAGCTGGGAAGCGAAAGTAGAAAAATTTAGACTTTGCGTTAAAGAAAATTTGTGATGTGGATTCTGCGTATTTTGGTAATACGGGCGAAGTGCCCGTCAGCTTTCATCGCCCCGGTTCAAGGGCTGTTAATTTAAAAGGATCAAGAGAAGTTTCCGTAGCCATGACCAGGCATGGTCAGTCGAATTTTATTCTTGTGTCAAGTGTGATTTCCGACGGTGGGAAGTTTCCACCCTTAGTTGTATTTAAGAGAAAAACATTGCCTAAGGAAAACTTTCCAGGGCACATTTTGATTGGCGTGAATGAGAAGAGGTGGGTCTATCAAGACAAGATGAAAGTGTGAGTGGAAAGTGTTTGGAGAAAAATTAAGCAAGCGTTTTTAAATCCAAATTCTTTCTTAATAGTGGACTCTTGTCGTGCGCATATTACTGATGATATGAAAGGGTTAGTAGGTAAGTATTCGAAATAAGCAATTATTCCGGGTAGATTTACGAAAAAGATTCAGGCGCTTGATTTGTCCGTTAATAAATTTTTTAAGTCACAGTTGCGTTCCAGATGGGAGAAGTGGATAATGACTGGTATTCGAGACTGAATTTAAGAATTAAAAACTAAGTGAATCCAAAAAGATTAAAAGGGTGTCATATGAAGAAATGTGCACGCGGATCCTTAGAAGTCGGCAAGTTATTACCGTGTCTTGTGTGAAAAAACGGGTTTTTAAAAGCATTAAGCGATGTACTGCAAACTGCAACGTCAGAAACAGATGACGAAGGAGTAACTTCAGAAAACGAACTGAGCGATGATGTACCTGAAGAAATTTTAAATGTTCTTGATTCATTTTGTACTGATTCAGATGATGAGTTTTATGATTTTCTGGGACTTTATTGTAATACGTAGGTACAATAAATGTTATTTTACGTTCTTTGTTTTATTTTTATCTTGTTTTGTTATACTAACCCGTATATTCACTGCAATTGCAATATGTACGTGGTTTCAGACTAATTTATTTTAACAGTATACTCAGTGTGAAGTTGCCACGTACACAGATAAACTCGAAATAACTTGGAAATTTTCGTTTTTCTTTGTATAACCCGCATCGTTGTTTTTTTTACGCTGACTGGACCTTTTTGTACCGATAGCGCGCGCGTTATCGATGGGAAAACACGGTAATTATCGAAAATACGAAAGCGTTGTGCCACTTTAGAGATCGAGAGATCGGTTCATTTGTCGGCATTCTTAATGATATCTGCGAAGGAATTTTTACTTAGACACTTAGAATGAAACTCAGGAGACAGGGAAGATCGAATTTATTGCGTTCAGTGAAATCAACTTGAGATCCAACAGTCAAACAAAGTTTAAACGACATTTCAAGAATTTAAAGCATTTAAGTTGTTTTTTCACTGAACGACATCGACTTCGAATTTTCTTAGCTGGGTTTGATTTGAAGGTAATCCTTTTCAGTTATCATTATTAAATGCCAATGTATGCACAGATTCCGTGGTGTCATCGCTTTCATATTGTCGACCACTATTTTTTCGTAGCTTCTATTGCCCAAACATTCAGATTAAGGCAACTTGCCTTTAGCTTCTTTTTCGCAACGCAGGTAATTGCACATTCCAGTTTTATCCGTATTGTTATGCAGCCGTTTCGCGCCTATATCGCGTAACCTCAGAGTCCCCCAGCGAGCTTATTTTTCAAGTAACGAATCCATAGATAGTGATGTTCGTCCGAACGTAACTGTCGAACATTCCGTTAGACTATGGTGAATTGCATATCGTCATACGTCCAGGTGTTCGACGTTGTCGCAAGGCAGCTGCGGAACAGAGGAGACGAGAGACTCGGTTCTCTGTCTTTAGTATCACCTGATTTGCTGCTGCAAGTCTGACGCTTGACGCCTTTCTGCCTGGAAACGGGCATTGGGGGGGGGAGGAGCAGCG